CATACATACATACATACATACATACATACATACATACATACATACATACATACATACATACATACATTCATCATCATCATCATCATACATCTACGTTTCCATCCAGCTTGAGCCTTGCAGACAAGAAAAAACGTCGGTCACCAAGCTTCAGCCAGTAACAAAGCTCCAAAGTCCATTGCTCTACAAACACCGAGCTCAGCACTAGTTCAAACAAATCCTGATACCAACAGCGAGCCTCCACAGCCGAGCAAAGGACTCGAGGGTTGCCTTGGGCATTTCTGATAGGTTTGATGGAGCAGATTAGGATTGCCAAAGTCACTGTGTACTTCAAGCATCCAAATCTGGGCGATCAGGCAAAATTGATGACACAATACAGGCTTAGACTCACTTGCAAGTCCAAGACAGTGAAAAGGATACAGCAGGATCTTCTGAAATTGGCATCAATTGCTGGGGACTTTGGGTCAAAGAGCTGTATCCTGCTATCAAACATATTCTGTTGAGCAACCAGCCAGAATGAATCATGTCAAACATGGCTCCAGATTCAACGGCGCCTGTTCAAGGAGAAGCAACCGGACACAGTCTTTAATCCACTACCAAATCATCGAGCCATATGAAATAACCGACGTTCAAGATTCCATGCCATTGGTCATTGGTCAACGGTCAAAAGGTCATCTCTTGCACTTCCAAGCTCCTCACGTGCACCAGAGCCAGGACCTAGAAAGGTCGCGACGCAGTGGCCCACCACGAGGAGAATCAGCGCAAGAAACACTCTGCGCGAAGGTCCCTGGAGATGCCGCGTATGGTGCACGAGGTTCCCCGAGTGTACCTGTCTGCCTCCATGTGCATCGTTTTGAGCTGCGTGGAAGAGGGGGATGAAAGAATGAAAAGCAACCCAGGTAGAGCCAGGTGCACGCAACAAGGCTGCTAGAAAATGCTAGACTACGTTTTCTGCTCAAGCCACCTTTGATGTCTGAATCTAGCTTTAAAAACCATGCAGAAAAGAATTGACAACGTACACCACCACTGGGGCTTGATGCCAAGTACACGCACCCACTGGAGGGAGATCCTGGATCCATAAAGATCTGCAACACCCAAAGATCCAAAAGATCCCAAAGACTCGTGGGTTCCTTCCGATACTTTTCGCTTTGACATGCTGAGGAAAGAATGGCTCCGGGCCTGCTCTGCGGTCAACCGCCATCTCACACGTGCAGGCGATCGGATGTTCATCACACGCCCGGTCCCACCGTTTAGTTCTTTCAACTTCGGCTCCATGTCATCCAATGTTATCCGATGTCATCCGATATTGCTTGTTCACTCTTGTTCTTAGATCAGTGGGAGTTCCACCTGAATCTTCGCTTTGAACCATCCTTACAACCCACTACCCACTCCCTCTTGTGATCCTCCTGTGGCTACGGAGAATGATATGAATGATCGACACTTTAGTATCGAACCACATCCTTGCAAGGCGGTGGTTTTCTTGCATGGTATTTGTATAACACGTCTTTTACACCACTGGCCCGTGAGGAGCTGATGGGGGAACTTCAAGCAGAGTCTGGTCGACATGGATAGTCAGGGAAGTTTGTCGTCTACTCAGTCGGCAAGTCATGCAATGTGTCTGCTTTTCTCTGTCCTGTGGCTTGATAACGCTGGCTGGCGATCCGACCGCACAAAAAAGAAAACGGGCCATTGGTCGCATGACAAACACACGCAGACTCTGACCCAAAGCTGTGAGTTTAAGCTTCACCCATCATCTGCAGAACTTATACATTGCAAGGGAAATCTGGGCGACGATTGCCCAGCATTTTGTATTTTATCTGAAACATCTCCTAGAATCTATTAACATCGCATGCCGCTGAAGCAGCCCTGTGACACGAGCATGTTGGGCCATGTTGAATCATGCTCTGCACTGCTGGTGGTGTCTTTTTGCATTTCACTGGTGATTGAGAGGTGCTGGCGCCTTCCAGAGTCCACATGTTTTTACTTGTTTTTCTGTGCACGCCTTGAAGTCAAGCACTTGCTTCGTGGATCTTACAGCACAGAAGTGGTACCATCATTCACTCACCATCTCAACCGTGACTAGAAACTTGCATTGCTTGGCACCAGAGCTTCCTTGTGCATTAAGGCAGCTCAGCTGCAAGGTTCATCAGACCCTTTGAGCTTCCATGGGGCTACTGTCTACAACAGGCTGAAAACAAGACGGTGCAACTGTGCCACCTTCCATGTGTGTGTGACTCAACAAAATCTGCGTGGGACTCGTGCTATCCCTTTCAGACCCAAATCGAAATCGTATCACTTCCGCTGGGACAAAGTGACTGCCTTTGATGTTGAACATGTCCAAGACGAGTTGTGATGTGGACAACACACCAACGCTTGGTCCCTCCAATCGAAATCTAACTTGTGGTCCATCATTATTCTCTCACGGAACATTTGCTGTCGGGTCATGGTGACTGTGAAACCTACCTTTCAGCGCTTCCGATCGTAGAGCCATCGGTATTGCGCAGGCTTATCTTTGCTGCCTTCGCGGACCTGACAGTCATCGACGTTCAGCCTCCCCCCCTCCGCCCGGGAGTGCGTTGGTAAAAAAGTGCGGCTGCACGAACTAGTCTGACAGTCTATGTTCCCTTCTAGGCAATGTGTCTTTTTGGGATTCCCTTCTTAGTTCCAGCCCAAATATATATATAATATATATATATAGATATAGATATAGGAATTTTTGTAGGTTCAATCTGCATGGCGGCTGGATCTGTTCTCAAGGACGGTTCTTAAATGAGTCTTGTATAAGCCATGCACGAAAGGTTTTCTTCATCAACCTCTCCACGACCAACAGCTACACACTGTTACATGATCCTGGTGCGTTTGCATTATGTGCCTGGATGGCGACTCCTTTTTGACGCAAATGGCTGCGTTGTTCTAGCTCTTCACCTTGGCAAGGAAGGTCAAAGGAAGGTCACTGTCGAAACAAGTTCTCTCCTGGACCTTAATTGATCTTTGCTCATCACTCAAACAAATCAATCTGCGAAGTTTGCAGGATGTACCTGGACCTCCAGCATATATCCATCCTTGTCACCCACCCACTCCTCTCCTTCATCTGAAGCATTTTGAGCTACTCATCAGTCCTGTCCTTGTCAGTTGCCTGCTGCATGCTGTCGCTGTCTCAGTCTGACCCGAGATGCAAACGGACCTTGGTGAGCTTCTTGGAACGCTCCTGAAAGGGACGAGAATGCGGGCCATGCTGAGGGCTTGCCAAGCCCTCATGAGGAGGCCTCCTCCCCCTCAATGTCCGTCTCTGAAGCGAAAAAGCATGTTATGATGACTCGGAGGAGCCGTATAACATATCTATACAATGCGTACCTGCATGATTGATACGCCGATGCAATGCAGGCATCATTTTGCTGGTGGCTCAGATTAAATGCGCACTGCCCATCCGATGCCGTACCACTTGATATAGTATTTTCCTGATATCTTCTGTATGGATCGGGGATAGCTCCGTGAAGTGCGCTTTCCCTCAGTCGACAAGTGCGCTTTCCTTTGACTCCTCCTGCTGAGTACCCTTTCAATATCACCAAAACATACCACGACCAAGGTTTCAGTGTCACAACTTACAATCGACAGTGAACTGCATCTGGCCAGGCTTTCAACTTGCTACAGGATGATGTATGGGCTCCAAGAAATTAGAGTACCTAGAAGTCACACGGAGGATCACGGAGTAGAGTTACATGGGTTTACACAGCTAAGTTGCCACCATAGCGGCCCCTCCTGCAGCTGAAATAGCTCATGGTAGGCTTCTTTGGCCTCAGTGACAAATGCAATTCAATGTACTTGAACAATCCGAACATTAAGACACCTAATGCCAGATAGGAAGCCCATTCACACTAAACTCTAAACCAAGTCCGAATGGTGAATTCCACATAATATCATGTTTGCGACTCACTGTGCCACGTTTCTTCAGTGCCCAGGAGTGAAAAAGCACCACTCCCCCGCTTCTGGTCCCAAAGTCTGAAGCACCACCACGAGAAAAAACGACTAGCAATGGCCTCCAACCGAAGAGCGATGGCCTGCTGGAATATCCCAGCACCCTCCCACTTTTTGCAATGATCTGGGCAGTCGCTTACACGGGTATGGATCCCATACCGCACGTGAGAAGATATGAAGTACCCAAATGTTCATAGAGCAGTAAAAGCGAATTTAAACAGAACTACACTCAGTCAGACAATCATGGAAGCTGAGCAGGCCCCACTTGTAGAGGAAAATGGTCTTCCAGGGGCATATGATTGTGTTCCATCCGTGATTGTTTCAGGGAGTTTAGAAACAAAAGCTCCTGTCCTGAACCATTGCCGTGTCATTGTAATGACAGTGTTTCAAGTTTTAAGATTGATTGCTCTGCAAACATCTGTGATGTGAAACGTACAAAGGCGTCCCTTCAGCAAGTTGCGGTTCCGATCCCTGCCAGGAATTGTAGATCGTGCTTCAAACAATCCAGACTCCTATGAAAATAACAGGTTTCACCACACGCACACAAAAGAAAAACCATCAAAATCGCTCCAAAGGTATTGGAATGCTACCACTGGTGAGCACGACAAAACTTGGAACGCATTGGAACGCTTGCATCACCTACATCAGACAGATCTGGGTTGCATGTATAAGTCTACCGTTCTCTGCCATCCAACAGAAACTTAGTGCTCCAAGGGCGGACTGATGAAACTCTTGTGCCAATTTATGCAGTGATTGCAGCACGTGCACCCCGATTTGGATCATTCTGTCAAAATCATGTGATTGTATAACATCCACCAAAGATACCAAAGTATCAACTGCTCTGGCACCATTATTTTTGCCTCTCAAGAAGCTTTGCACAATGGAGTCGTGTGTGAAACTACCCGGGTCGCTTGGCAAGCAATGCCCAAAGCACACCAAGTGTGTTTTCTTGATCAACTTCCACATAACCAATGCCGAAAACACATATTATACAATATATGTCACATATCTAGAACAATGATAATGCCTGTTTATATTACTTTATATATATATATATATCGATGCATTGATTCTATGTAGTACCTGTTGCATTATAGGGTTTCGACTGATATTAGGTGGTGCATGATTCCTCTCTAAAAAACCACTGTTCAGGACCTCTGAGGCTTTTTCTTACCAGGCTTTCCCGATTGCTTCACTTGCTCTTTCTTCACGGGCTTCTCACCGCCAGACGTTCTCTTTCCTGCGCAGATCTTCAGCCCTAACACCTACAACGAGGAGCCGAAGAGGCCCGAGTCAATTCGTCTTGGCATGCAAAAGCCTCCAGAGAAACATGACGCGAACCCTTGTTGGTGCTAGCAAGTTGCAAAGCAGCACCTGCTGCCGGTCAAATACAGTTCCACCATATGACTTATATAAATGGTCTTAAATTTCGCGCATCTTTCGCAGCCGATTTTCACGCTGGCCTTTGGGGTGCTTGTCTTCCAGCACCTGCAATGCTGGAAGAGACACTTGAGAGGCCCAAGTAAGACCTCACTCGTTTACATGCCACTTGCCGAGCATGCCCACCCAACCTGAAACCACAAGAGCTGTATGGAGAATCAACAAATGACAAGCATTTCCAAACTGACTACAGTAATTCAGTACTTGCTCCCAACCTTCAAACAAACTTGTGCAAAAGGGCCTGGCTGCCCTGGCCCGGCGCCCAAACGGTCATACAGGTGAGGCGGCTCCTCAGTGATTGGGTCAATTGGGTCCACATGTGCAAATCTTACCGGGACTACATCAAATATTGATATGGACACAGTTCACATATTCTGTTCACAGAGTCGGGGTGTCTGGAAGATTTAAGGCATTTATATAAGTATGATGAGAGGTCCTGTCTCTGTACTTCTTCAAGCACACCGATTTACGCAATTGATACACGTCCGTACAGGGCACAGCGCAGGACACGTGTGCCGCGGCCACATGCCGCGCCACCCGAGTTGATCTCTAGGGGGTCCCTGGGGCCCCTGCTTGGTGTCGACCACGCGAAGCAGTGTAAAGCTACCTGCCTGGCACTCCGGTCACGTGAAAAGGAACTTATGTTATTAAAAGTTAATACATAGTGTGCATATGATATACAATTATATTAAGAGAGAGAGAGAGAATATATATATATATTGAAACATATATACTATATCTCTCACCATATAATATAGAACTGGACACGGCCCACGATGCACAGGAAAACCGGTCGTTCCCACTATCTCTATCTCCAAGCCTTGCATATTGAAGGGTACCGGCTCC